GCACTCTTTTGTTGAAATTCTCCATGACCGTTTGCATAAATGTGGCTGATTTCGATGAGACTCATTTTCATCTTGATGGCTTGGTTAATCAACAAAATTGTCGCATTTGGGGTTCAGAAAATCCATGAGTGATTGTTGAAAAACAAATGCATCTACAACGTGTCACTGTTTGGAGCGGATTTTGGGCTGGAGGCATCATCGACCATTCTTCGAAAATGCGGCTGCTCAGGCAATAACAGTTAATGGCGCTTGCTATCACGACATGATAATCCAGTTTTTTGTGCCTAATTGCAAGATATGGATGTGGATGACATGTGGTTTCAACAAGACGGTGCCACATGCCATACAGCCTGAGAAACAATTCAATTACTGCATGAGTCATTTCCTGGTTGTGTAATTTTCCGTTTTGGTGATCAGAATTGGCCGCCCATATCATGCAATTTAACACCGTTGGAATTTTTTCTTTGGGGTTTTTTGAAGTCTAAGGTTTATGCCAACAAGCCCACGACCACCCATGCCTTGAAAGAGGAAATTGAGCGTTGTATCAACGAAATTCAGCCACATTTATGCAAAATGGTCATGGAAAATTTCAACAAAAGAGTGCATATGTGCCAGCAAAGCCGTGGAGGCCATTTACCCGATATCCTATTCCATACATAACCCTATACTGTATACTTTATGAATTAATAAAAAATTTACAATTTTTAATTATAAACCTGTGTTTTCTATCAAAATTACTTCTTGCATGAATTTTGGGACACCCTTTATATTTTAATATTTTTTTATTTCTTTGAAAAATGCCACTGGAATTTTAATAGGGATAGTACTCAATCTGAATATTGTTTTGAGTAGTTTGGACACTTAACAATATTAATTCTTACAATTCATGACCATAGAATATATTTTTGATTGTGTGGTCTTGGTTTCTTTCATATATAGTGGGGTCTTGACTTACGAGTTTAATTCGTTCCAAGACCAAGCTCGTTAAGGAGCTCATTGAGGAGCTCGTTAACTCAAATTATTCTATCAACTCAATGCAAAAAATCGGCCGAGAGACCGCTGGTATCTCAAAAAACTCCTTAGTCGGGACACTCGTAAGTCAAGGTCCCACTGTATATCTTTAGTTTTCAGGGTAAAGGTCTTTCACATTCTTGGTTATATTTATTCCTAGTTATTTTATTCATTTTTTATGCAAATATAAATGAAATTATCTTAATTCCTCTTTCTGATAATTCATTTCTAGTATATAAAAACGCAACATATTTATATATATATATATATATATATATTGATTTGTAACCTGTAACTTTCCTGAATTTATTGATTAGTTCTAAAAGTTTTCTGAGTCATCTTTAGGTTTTAAAAAAATATCTATATATATATATAAAAGGCTAATATACAAAGTGTTCCCTCGGGAGTTCAACCCGGAGACTGGGAGTTGGATCGCTTGCTATGATGTGTGCTGACCACCAAGGGGCAGCGGGGAACGAAGGAAGGCCCTGGACGGCAGCTGGGGAAGGGATGCCGTGGCCAGCAACCAAAAGGCCCCGATTGGCCCTGATCACCGGCCAGACCTAGGGACCCTACCTATGCATGAATTTCATGCACCGGGCCTGCAGTATGTAATATTACTTCAACTGCAAATAGAGTCAGTTTTACTTCCTCATGCCCAATTTGGATGCCTTTGTTTAAAAAAAATATTTTTACTAATTACTCTGGCTAGGACTTTCCATAATATATTAAATAAAGTGGTGAGAGTGGCCAGAGGAATTGCTTGAGTGGCTGGACAGCGCCTGAGACAGGAACAGCTCCCTGCACTCATGAGAGCTGCAGATGCTGTCCCTGCTGCCCGAGCATGTCGCTGCAGGGACCTGACACGGGAGGAATGTTGTAAACAACATCATCTGTACATATGAGGGATTATTCCTGCCACTGTTGAGGTAAAAAATTAATTGCACTCTTGCTAGACCTCAGCACTCAGTATCATTACTACTTGTATTGACCTGTGAGCGTTGGTGCCCTTGAGCAGGAACAGAAGACCCCATCCTGGATCTCAGTCTGTCCATTATTACATGACATCACACAATGAAGTTTTCTCATCTAAAACTGGATAATTCATGGAGGTCCATTTTGCAGCTCTAGTTGGATGCTGCACATGGTATGCAATAGGTATATGACTTCCTATGTCAGGAATACTGTACAGTAAAAGAAAACACAGTATGGGATTTAAAAGGTACTGGTTTTATTAAGGAATGTGTAAGATTCCCTGCATCCAGGGAGAGGTTACAAAGTGATTGTGAAAAGAAGAAATTGGATAAAAACTATGCATATATGATTATGAAGATATTGATCAATTGCAGAAACCTATTAAAAATTATGAAGCTGAATTACTTAAAAGGAGCAAGAGATCCTGACTTAAGAGTCAAAGCAAGAACATGACTCCATATCAAGGATGCAGGAAGCTGGCAAATGATCCATCGCATGGGGGAGAGAGAACTGAGTGAAGGCCTCTACACTGCATCTCAAGCCTCTCAGCAGGCTGGTGCATAACAGAAATGGTGGTGGTGGTATGCTGGTTGTCTTCGAAGTCTAGGAAGTGAAATTGTCCACATGGCAAATCAGTTCACAGATGGTGTTATTTCCATTTGGTGGTTCTTGGGGGAAGACAATCAGCAACATGAGGGCTGGCAGCAGCTGGACACACAGCAAGGGCGGCAGCAGCAGCTGGGCCGGCAGCAAGTGGTTCTCCAGCAGGTGGTCTGACAGCAGGTTGGGCGGCAGCAAGGCTGGCAGCAGCTGGACCCGCCACAGGATTGTCCACAACAGCTGGACCCACAGCAGCTGGGCTGGCAGCAGGGAGTGCTACAGCAGCAAGGCTGACAGCAGCTGCTCACACAGCAAGGGCGGCAACAGGTGGTCCTGCAGCAGGTGGTCTGACAGCAGCATGGGCGACAGCAAGGCTGGCAGCAGCTAGACCCACAGCATGGGCGACAGCAAGGCTGGCAGCAGCTAGACCCACAGCATGGGCGACAGCAAGGCTGGCAGCAGCTAGACCCACAGCATGGGCGGCAGCAAGGCTGGCAGCAGCTGGACACACAGCAGCTGGGCTGGCAGCAAGGGGAGCAGCACATGGTGTCAGGTGTGGAGGGTGGGTTCCTGTTCAGAGGTGAGTTTTTCGGATTCTGATGACTCCTTCCTTTCTGGAGCTTTTATACCTGCAGCCCAAAATGTTGGCACCAATGGCCCGGGTTTTCCTTGTTCTTGTTCACATTTTTAGTGTTGTCACTTGGGAAATTTTGAAGAGGAAGTTGTTCCCTAAATGTAATTAATCTCTTCAAATTAAGTTCTTAATCTATTTTTTTAATTGAGAATAACTCATAGGAACCTTTCTATAGATAAATAAGAAATGGTCACATTATCAGCATGTTCCTGCTTCATAATCGGGTGGGTCCTCTGACCCATAGAGTGCCTGCTGCCGGGGCAGGTCGCAGTGGTTGGTGACTTGATGCCCAGTCTGTTTATTCCAGAGTCACTTAGGTCACTGACTGCACACTGTCTTTCTTTTTGTCATTAATGTAGTAATTAGATCAGGAAAGATGATACCTGAAGTATCATGTTCAAAAGTTTTTATGGCTTAACATTCATCTTAAAAAGTGCTCAAATATATAATTTCCAACTTGGTAAATTGTTATTAATTTTCAACTTGATAAAAGATCTCAACGTGAACACATCCATGTCACTCTGGTTGAGAGATAGAATCTCACCCTCATCCCCTTCAAATTATAGGGCTCACTCATCCCCAAAGGTCATGAGTTTAGGCTGTTCTTAAACTTTATATGAATGAAATAATGTAGAATTGGCTTTCTCTTCATGTGATGATTGTGAGACTCGGCTTCATTATCTGAGCGTCCACCCTCCTGGGCCTCCTGCATCTTTTGCTCATCGGGATCCCTTTGATCAGACAGTCAGACGGCATTGCAGAGCAGCTCCTCCTCTCGTTAGACACCTTGTGCCCTGATAGGCCTGCTGCAGCATCGCATTCCCTTCACTCTGATCTCTGACATGTGTTTCCCCGCCTCGTAGGATGCTTCCTGACAAAGGACAGCATTTCCCTGTTGACTGCATGAATTTTATGATGTGCATTTCCCCCCAAGGCCCTTGTCACTAACCTTGAAAATGGATCTTGATTTGTAAGATGAAGTTCAGAGTTGTTTCTCAAAATATTCTAGGTGTTATCAGATTCTGGTTTCGTAGAATGAGATCTCCTTATCCTGTACAGTATACGACCATATCTTACCATTTTTATTACTCGTGACTATGCTGTCTTGTAAGGTGCTTCTGGTTTGCCTTAACCATTTTCTATACTAAATTGCCACCAAGATTGTGCATCTATTTACCTCTTGTTTCATCCTCGGCCATAAGTTTTCTATGGTGAAAGTAGAATGCAACATATTTTGGTTAAGGGAATTAAACTCATATGGAAGAGTCCCCAGTTCCTATTCTGGCACTCACTAGCCATATGTTTGGGGGGTAAAGATAGAATACACTTAAACCAACTCATGAATTGTTTCTCAATATACTGTGTGATCTCTTACAAATATATCTTCATTTTTCAACTACCATCTTACATATAGGTCTGCTGATGGATTAATCTAGAAGTGTTTTCTTTCTCTTTCCCCCCCTATATTACTGGTTCAGTCTGTCTGTAGTCAGATACCTTTATAAGAGACCCCAATTCTTATATTTTCAAGGGATGTTATAGAAAAAATATATTCATCACCCTTATTATTTATAGAGAATAGTTTTTCTTCTCTTCCTCAATAATCTAAGATAGTGTCTCTTTTGGTAATCTTTGAATCCCTGAGTTAATGCAAACTAACCTCGGTTTACAAATTATAAACATTAAGACAAAGGTATTAATGAGAAATCATGGCACATCCATGGAGAGTTTAGTGCTCATCTCAATGACTAAAAAAATACATGAGTGGTAATTTTCAGCACAATTCCATCTGACTCCTTCAAACCCTACTTGGTTATAATATATGAACACGGACTACCTGAACTTCAGTGATTGATGGCCCCGATGGCAGCTTTTATGCCAGATGGAGAATTTTTACTGCAACAGATGAAAAACTTTTGGTCTGCAAAGGCAGTGGAAAGAGGAAATATTCCCAATGAAAAGAACTGTGATTAGTACAATGATTGTGTGTGTGTGTGTGTGTGTGTGTGTGTGTGTATAATTTTGTATGGGAGGTGGTCGATGGCCTCAGAAAATGATGTTTATTGGCTACTTGCAAATGGTGAAAGGCCTGATTGAGTTATCTTATTCCTGGAAGAAGCATGATTGGAAGAGAAAGGCATTTGGAGAAGAATCGTGTCCATGGAGCTGGTGTGTCAGCAGATGGTGCTTCCTCTTTGTGTGCTCTCAGTGCTCCCCAGAGAGCATCCACCACTTAGGAAGCTCTGGACAAGTACAAGTTGGTATAACTCACGTTGTCCAGGTCCTCGGGTGCACCGGTACTTGCACAGGGGCATGAACAAAGTAGCCATCGTGGCAGGGATTGAGGCAGGTGTGCACCCACAGCACAGGTTCCCTCTCCCCACAGCTTCCTCTGCTGGATGTGCTGTCGTCATAAGTCGGGACAAGAGGTGAGTTGGTATTGACAGCATCATTTATGAAGACTAACCACCCCAAGTGGACCCAAGTGTTCCACTCGTATCACTTCCACACTGAAAAAGGCAATCCTTCCTTACTATGATTGCACGTTTGGCAAAAAGAATTGTCTTCCCTGTCTGCAGTGCTATCCACCAGCTTACAGTATTGTCATAGGATCCTGAATAGCATCACTTTGGGCCAAGGGACCCACTCTATGATGAACAAGGTCAACAATAGGCGCGTAACCATGGATCTACTTGTCCTACTGTGTATCACGTGACAGAAATTGCTGGCCTGGTAAAAAATTGGACTGGTCTCTTAGATGTGCAGCAAAGACACCACCATAGAGGTGACAACATACGGGATTGATATATTGTCTTCTGGATGTGGACTGTACCTTAACCCAATGGCCGTTACTATATCATTAACGTAGGACCGCAGATGTCCTCGAATGGGAGTACACACGGTTGGGCGGACGTCAGAGTGAATCTCCTCACGTTAACCACTAGTGACACACTTGGGAGTCTGTGCTTCCCGTCCCATCACGGCTGCAGACCCTCCTGGACTGAAGGTTCTACTCCTGTGAGAGCACATTTTTGTCAGGGACATCATCTAAGTCAGAACGATCATCTGGTCCGTTTGGAATGTCATAGGAATAGAGTAGCAGGCAGAGGATGCAGTTCCTATTTGGTGAGGGACACTTAGCAGGAAAGGTAGAGAGCAGGGAGAAGTGCGTCGGGAATGTGGGGATTTACTGAGTGGTGCATGCCCCGTGACAACATTCACCCGAGGCTTCTTTGGGATGTAAATGTAAGTGCCTTTTGGCAGAAACAGAAGACTTTCCTGGATCTGAGTCAGTCCAGTCTTAGCTACGTGACCTTAATCAATTAATGGGGATTCCCCCCTAAAAACAGAGATACCTCTTGTGGGGCTGTTATGATGCTCAGTAGGGATAATGCATATAGTATGCAGTATGTATTTAAATCCCTGTGTCAGGAATTCGGTGCAATAAATAAAACACAATATGGATGAATTATGCTATAGAATTTATTAAGAAACAAAGGGTAAGACTCCTGCAGTTAGGAATACAGTTCAAAGTGATCCTAAAAAAAGAAAGCCTGTTACAAGAAGCATGACTACATTGATAAGGAACATACAATTATGAGGATTATTTATCAGTTGTAAAACTTTTAAAAATTATAAGAATTTGTTTTTCTAAGTTACACAGAGGGAGAGGGTGAAGACCTTGACTACAGACTCAAAGCAGAGACCATAGCTCCATATCGAGGATGCAGGAAGCTGGCACATGATCCACCAACCCGGGAGGGAGAGGATCAGGGACGTCCTGTGAACCCCATCAGGCTGATTCAGAAGCTTGTATCAGGCAAATGAGTCCCAGAAAATTATGGTCAAGCATGCTGGTTGCTAAGTCTAGGGAGTGAACAAGTCTCCAAAATGGCAAGTCAGTTAGCTGAAGATGTTATGCTCAGATGGTGGTTTCTGACAAGATGATCAGCAGCAGGAAGGCTGGCAGCAGCTGGACACACAGCAAGGGCGGCAGCAGCAGCTGGGCCGGCAGCAGGTGGTTTTACAGCAGGTGGTCTGACAGCAGGTTGGGCGGCAGCAAGGCTGGCAGCAGCTGGACACACAGCATGGGCGGCAGCAAGGCTGGCAGCAGCTGGACACACAGCATGGGCGGCAGCAAGGCTGGCAGCAGCTAGACCCACAGCATGGGCGGGCAGCAAGGCTGGCAGCAGCTAGACCCACAGCATGGGCGGCTGGCAGCAGCTGGACCACAGCATGGGCGGCAGCAAGGCTGGCAGCAGCTGGACACACAGCATGGGCGGCAGCAAGGCTGGCAGCAGCTAGACCCACAGCATGGGCGGCAGCAAGGCTGGCAGCAGCTAGACCCACAGCATGGGCTGCAGCAAGGCTGGCAGCAGCTAGACCCACAGCATGGGCGGCAGCAAGGCTGGCAGCAGCTGGACACACAGCATGGGCGGCAGCAAGGCTGGCAGCAGCTGGACACACAGCATGGGCGGCAGCAGCAGCTGGGTTGGCAACAGCTGGACCCACAGCAGGTGGGCTGGCAGCAAGGGGAGCAGCACATGGTGTCAGGTGTAGAAGGTGAGTGTCTGTTCAGAGGTGAGTTTTTCAGATTCTGAGGACTTCTTCCGTTCTGGGGTTTTTATACAGTGGGCCCCCAATGTTGGGACCAATCAGTAAGACTTCCCTTGTTTTTGTTTATGTTGTTTTGGTAATCACAGGGAAATTGTCAAGGAGGAAGTTGTTCCCTAAGTGATATGAATATTTAGAAAATTGGTGTTTAATGTGTTCCTTAATTGAGAACAACTCATTGAAACTTTTATAGATAAAAGGAAGTAGTCAATATCAGCATACTCCTGAAAGCAACCTATAGATTCAGTGCAATCCCCATGAAATTTTTCATGTCAGAAATAGAAAAAAAAATCCTAAAATTTATATGGAATGACAAGAGATCCAGTATAGCCAAAGCCATCTTGAGAAAGAAGAGCAAATCTGGAGGCACCATGCTCTCTGATTTCAAACTATTTTACAAAGCTATAGTAATCAAAACAGTATGGCATTTGGCATAAAAACAGACACATAGATCAATGGAACAGAACAGAGAGCCCAGAATTAAACCCAAATATATATGGTCAATTAATTTATGACAAAGAAGCCAAGAATACACTATGGGGAAAGGTTAGTTTTTTCACTAAATGGTATTGGGAAAACAGTGAAGCCACATGCAGAAGAATAAAACTGGGCCACTATCTTACACCATATGCAAAAATTAACTCAAAATGAGTTAAATACTTGAATGTAAGCTCTGAAACTATAAAATTCCTAGAAGAAAACATAGGCAGTAAGCTCATTCACATAGATCTTGGTAATAATTTTTTGGAGTTGATACCAACACAATGGCAAAAAACTAAAAAAGTGAAACTACAGCAAACTAAAAAACTTCTATATAGCAAAGGAAGGAAAGCATCAACAAAACAAAAAGGCAACCTACTGAATGGGAGCAAATATGTGCAAATTGTATAGTTGATGCTGGGCTAACTTCCAAAATATATAAAGAACTTATATAAGTCAATAGCAAAAAACAAATGGTCACATCTTAAGTAATTATAGAACATCTCAAAACTCAAAAACTGACACAGTACAATCCCCAGAACTGGCTCAGGTTTTACCTGTATTACATGCACTCATGAGTGTGTGTGTGTGTGTGTGTGTGTGTGTGTGTGTGTGGTTCTATGCAGATTATCATATGTACTGTATGGATTTGTGTAATCACCATCACAATTAAGATACAGACTGCCCTTCTCCATAAGGCTCTATCTTTGTAGCCACACCCACTCCCTCCCACTCATCATCCGACACCCCTGCCTACCACTACTCTGTTCTCCATCTCTATAATTTTATTTCCAGCATGTTCTACAAATGGAATCTTATAGTGTGTAACCTCTGTGATTGGTTTTTCACACTTAGCATCCTTCCCTTGAGATCATGCATGTTGTTCTTTGTATCAATAGCTTGTTCCGTGGTGTATCACAGTTTGTGTGTTCCATCATTCACCCATGAAGGGCCCCTCAACGGTTTCAAGTTCAAAGAGCTTTAGGCATCCTTGCATAGGAGACTAAATCTAAGATGAAAGTCACGGCCTGTCTTAGATCTGAAAGAGTTGTTACTAATCCAATATATGGCACCTGATTTGGGGAGCAGTAAGTATACCTAAACTTCTTGGGAGTATTTATTAACTAGCCATACTCCCTAATGTTGTATTCACCCTCAGCACCTCTATGTCAGGTATAACCGCATCAAAAATGTTACTGCTGGTATCAGGTGAAAAAAAAAAAGATTAAATAACCCCTACACATCTCTCAGCAGAGATTAAAGCAGTTTAGAATGAAAAGACAAAGGTTTTCCCCCGTGATAGTAACCTCAGTATAAGTTCACACTCATTGCCAACCACTTTCTGCCATGACACCCTGAATTGCACACTAAATGCCAACTCTGATACATTAATGAACATGAATATTATTCAGAAAGGAAATGGTTTAAAAAAAGAAAGGAAATCCTGCCAGTTGTGATAACATGGATGGGCCTGGAAGATATTATGCTAAGTGAAATAAATCAGTCACAGAAGGACAAATACTGCATGAATTCACTCATTTGAAATATTAAATACACAAAAGGAGCATAGAATAAAATTTTTGTTTGCAGAGGCTGGCGTAGTAGGAAATGGTGAGCTTTTGTTCAATGGGTATAGAATTACAGTTATACAAGGCAAATAACATCTACTGGTCTGCTGTACAACGTTGTGGCTATAGTTGACAATATAGTATGGTACACTTAAAATCTTGCTAAGAAGGTAAATCTTAGGTTAATGTTCTTACCACACACACAAAAAATGAAGGGGATGGAAAGAAATATTTTTGAGATGATGGATATATTTAGTACCTTAATTATGGAAATGGTATTATGGTACATGCATACGTCCAAACTCATCAGAATGTATACATTAGAAGTGTAATATTTTGCATATTACGTGTTCCTCAATAAAGCTGAAGGAAAAGAAGAAACATCAAAATTTTATGACTTAGTTTTTCCTCGTACACCAGTTACTTATTTCCCATCTGAAAGTCTGGAAAATGGTCCCTGATTAGCAGTGGGGAGAGGAAATATCCTAAGAGTCTTATTCTCATGCCAGTGATGCCCTGATTCACATTCAACACTTCTCTGCCCACCTGACCCCACAATGAATGAGACATCAAACTAAAATGCAGCTGTATCTCCCTAAGTCACCAAAAGGAATGTGGCTTATTATCACCCAAAGGGAGACATGTTGGGCTGTGCAACATGAGACACACATACATGATCTAAGTGCATAAATCACATGACAGCTTTCTTTAAGGAAGATGAAGCAAGAAAGACACATAAGAGATGATCCAGGAAGAGCTGAAGTGAGGAATCCTAACCCATCAGGAAAAGGAAACAATGTTTTCCATCCATCTTGAAAAGGTTAGCCAGGAAAACAAACCTGGCTAATTTCCTAATCACCTGTTAATTAGGACAAACAGGACAAGGAAAGAGCACAGCTTCTGATGACAGCAGCCCTTAGCAGGGTATAAAAGGGGACCTGGGGCAAGCAGACTTCCAAACCTTCCAACCCACCTTCCTGAAAACTCACTCCGAACCTCCACCCTCTGACACCATGGTCAACTCCTGTTGTGGATCCGTCTGCTCTGACCAGGGCTGTGGCCAAGGCTGCTGCCAGGAGACCTGCTGCCGCCCCAGCTGCTGCCAGACCACCTGCTGCCGCCCCTCCTGCTGTGGCTCCTGCTGTGGTTCCAGCTGCTGCCGCCCCTGCTGTGGCTCCTGCTGTGGCTCCAGCTGCTGCCGCCCCTGCTGTAGCTCCAGCTGCTGCCGCCCCTGCTGTGGCTCCAGCTGCTGCCGCCCCTGCTGTGGCTCCAGCTGTGGCTCCAGCTGCTGCAGGCCTACTTGCTGCATCTCTAGCTGTTGCCGCCCCACCTGCTGCCAGACCACCTGCTGCAGGACCACCTGCTGCCGCCGCCCCTCCTGCTGTGGCTCCTCCTGTGGCTCCTGCTGTGGCTCCAGCTGCTGCCGCCCCTCCTGCTGTGGCTCCAGCTGCTGCCGCCCCTCCTGCTGTGGCTCCAGTTGCTGCCGCCCCAGCTGCTGTGGCTCCAGTTGCTGCCGCCCCAGCTGCTGTGTGTCCAGCTGCTGCCGCCCTAGCTGCTGCCCGACCCTCTGTTGCAAGACCACCTGCTGCCGCCCCACCTGCTGCCAGACCACCTGCTGCCGCCCAGTCTGCTGACTGCCCTGACCTGTGCCCACTGGTTTTCGTCAGCCAATCTTCTTGATGTAGTTTAACTGAACTGAGTCATGAGAGGCCAATTGTCAAAACTTAGTTCCAACTGATTCTTAAACTGACTGTGGCCTCCAAATATATTGCCCCCCCCTCCCAAGAGCATGTTACTACCTGTCTCCCAAATGAACACAAAGTTTGAATTTTGTCTGAAATCTTTCAACCAACATGTCATCCCAATTGATATATTTCTTCCCTGCCATCTTTTCTCAAATGGAGATGTCCCTAAATCTTAAATAAATCTGAATTTCCCAGGCATACAAATACAAGAGTATCGTGTCTGATCATTTTTCCTCTTGACTTGCCAGTTGTTCTGTTGTTCTCTCTGCAGAGAGCAGAGGACAGCAGGTGATTTCAGGATGTCCCCCTCTATGGCCTCAGCATCCTTGTTTTAATATAGGAAGGTGGTTTCTTATAGCAAACACTTTGATCTGTCGTCCTGTGGACTTTCTCCGGATGAAGGAGCCAGCTCAAGGCAGGCCGGGGGTCCAAGTGTGTAGGAGCAGTGCTCGGCCAGTGATGGGTGCAGTGGGTACATACTCTAGCTCTTTCCTCTCAGGTGGGGGCAAGGAGCACCACTCTCTACAGGTCCTTGGTGGAGTGACGCCCAGCTGCCCACAGACGTAAGCTGCTCATTCCATCATCCTACACTGGCCTCCGTCCCTTCCCCGGATCACTTCCCAGGTTCCCTGCAGTGCCTTTTAGGATGATCTCCCAAATAAACTACTAGATCTCAAACCCCTGTTTGAGAGTCTGTTCCTGAGGGCACCCAATCTAAGACGCCAGTATTCCAAATGTAATTACTTGTGTCCTTTAACACATTTTAAACATATATTATGAATGGTTGCCAACTGTCAGTGTCAACTCAGATACAGTAACCAACAACGTCCAATAGGGGTATTCCAGTGTCCCCTGAGGAAATGGCTGTGGATTCCTTTGGGAAAGGACTGGAGTGATCAATGCTACATACACTTGCTGTGGTCCTTGGTCTTGGAGGACTGGCCTTACTTTCAATGAGTCAGTGGGTTGTAGATCTGATAACTGGCTCAGCCTGGAAACTGGGTGAGGAGTCATAATTTCCCATTGGGATCACTGACCTCAGCCTGTGGGTCCCACAGCACTTCACCCCAGTTGTCATCCCAAATGTGCTTGCTGCCCATCACATATTTATACCCACATTACTCTGACCGTTAAATGCTGCCAGCTGGCCTCTGCTACTTGAAGGACATTCTCATTCTCATTGCTCCTTGGGAATTCAGTTCTATGACAATATTCCCTACCACGAGCTCCAAACCTTAGAGAATAGACCTCTCTACCTGTTCATTCCTTCTTACCTTATTACAGAGGGAACCCCCTGAGTCCTCCTAGGGAGCTTATTCAGCTGGTTGGGTTTCCTGGCCTTGTGGCTAGATCTATTCTAGCCTATTAACTTCTCTGCACCCTTTGATCCCTTCACCCTCATCTCTGTGTTGTGTGGTACTAGATAAATCTGTACGAATTATCTATTGTTAGCTAATATTACCTCAAATTTTAGCAGCTTAAAATGAGACTCATTTACTGTCTCATAGTTTTCGTGCATCAGGAATCCCAAGTAAAGCTCAGCTGGGCTCTCTATTCCTTAATGATTCATACGGCTGCAATCAAGGTGTTAGCTGGCACTGGCATCTCATCTCAAGTCTTAGGTGGAGAAGAATCCACTTCCAAGTTCACAGATGTAGTTGTTGACAGGATTCCAGTCCTCGAGGGCCATTGGAGTGAGAGCCTCAGTTCCCTGCTGGTTGTCAAATGGAGACTGTCCTCAGTGACTTGCCCCATACTTCTCCCCCACAGGGCCGCTCACTTCCTCAAAGCCCATGAGGGCGAGAGAAAGTCAGCTAGCAAGATGAGAGTCACCATCTCGTATAACTTAATCACTTGATGTTGCCAGAGGCGGTTGGTTAGAAGCATGTTACTCACAGGGAGGGAATTATGTTAAGACCATGAACACCAAGAGGTAGAAATCACTGGGCCACTTAGGGGCTGCCTACCACAACTCTTAATTGAGTGAGAGAATAAAAACACACAATACATATATGAAGATCCCACTTATATAAAATTCAAAAACAAGTAAAACTAAACTATCATGGTTAGGATGCATACCTAGGTGGTAGAACTGTAAAGCACATCAGTGAAAAGATTAAGAATCAGGGCAGTGATTATATGTAGGGGGGAAGGAGAGTGATGTGGTCAAGAGAAGACACATCCAGGGCCCTCTTGGTGACAGCAATGCTCTTTTGTTTGACTTGGGTGTTGGGATAGATAGATGCTTGCTTCATAATTTATTATATTATACATGTATGTTTTATACACTTTTCAGTATACAGCAGTTCCCCCTTGAATATGAGGTTTTGCTTTCTGTAGTTTTAGTTACCCACAGTCACCCATGGTCTGAAAATAGTAAATGGAAAATTCAAGAAATAAACAATTCATAAGTTTTAAGTTGCATGCCATTCTGAGTAGCATGGTGAAATCTTGCACTGTCCTGCTCCATTCCACCTGGGTAGTGAATCCTCCCTTTGTCAAGTAAATCCATACTATATACCCTACTCACCCATAAGTCACTTAGTAGCTGTCTCAGTTATTAGATCAACTGCCTTGCTACTGCAGTGCTTGTGTTCAAGTAACTCATGTTCACTTAATAATGGCCCAAAGTGTAAGAGAGTGATGCTGGCAACTCAGATATGCTAAAGAGAAACTGTAAAGTGCTTCCTTTAAGTGAAAAAGTGAAAGTTCTTAACCTAATAATAAAAAAAGAAACAAGCAAACATAGGCTGAGGTCGCTAAGATCTATAGTAAATTAGATCTTCTATTCATGGAAGGGTGAAGAAGGGAAAAGAAATCAGTGCTAATTTTCTGTGGGAAGAAACTCAGGATATTTTGCGGAGCTCAAGAAGAGAGAAATTGACCTAAATCTATAGGTATCGCAGGCAAAGCTGATTGCAAGCATCTTCTGGCTCGGCTTCTTAGCCTCGAGAGGCTGTTAAAAGTTCAGTCTGAAGATGCCACATGAAAAGTACCAGCAAAACAGATTTAAAAGAATGTAATCACAACCACAATGAGGTACCACCTCACACCTGTTAGAATGGCTATTATCAACATGAGAAGTAATAGCAAGTGTTGAGAGGATGTAGAGAAAAAGGAACCCTCAGACACAGCTAGTGGGAATCTAAACTGGTACAGCCACTAGGATAACAATATGGAGCTTTCTCAAAAAAACTAAGGATGGAGTTACCATTTGACCCAACAATCCATCTTCTGGGTATCTACCCCGAGATTTGAAAACATTTGTTTGTAAAGATGTATGTACCCCTATTTAATTGCAGCATTATTCACGGTGGTCAAGACATGGAAACAACCTAAGTGTCCTTCATTGATGATTGGATAAAGAAGATCTGATACATATATACAATGGAATACTACTCAGCCATAAGAAAAGATTACATACTGCCATTTGCAACAATATGGGTGGATCTTGAGGATATAATACTAAGCAAAATAAGTCAGATAAAAAAAGTCAAGAACCATATAATTTTACTCATGTGGGATATAAAGCTGAACATATAAGACAAAAACTCATAGACACAGACAACAGTGTTGTGGTTACCAGAGTGGGTGGGGGAGGTAAAAATGGTAAAGGGGGTCAGATATATGATGACGGAAAGAGACTTGACTTTGGTTAGTGAACACACAATGCAATATACAGACCGTGTATTATAGAATTATACACTGGAAACCTATATAATTTTATTAACCAAAATCATCCTGAAAATTTTAATAAACCGTAAACATAAATATAAGAGCCTATATGACCCATCACCACTCTTGCCACTCTTAGGTAAATAAGCAGGCCAAATTTAGTGAAGACTCGACTTGTTATGAAAACAAATTAGTTTTACTATAATTACTTTTGGTTAAAAAGGGGGTGAATGTACAGGGGAAAATTATGTTTTTTCCCCTCTACGCTATACCAGGAGGTGGGGATGACAGTCTCTAGAAACTCCTACCAATGGAGAAGGCAGGGACTTCACTCCGAACAGCTTTACCCTTGTTTGCTGTGCTCCCCCTGGCAACCTCTCATAACTAACGCCCCACTCCCCAGGTCTGCTTTTGTCTTTATTGAAGATGGCGTTAAGGTGAAGGCAGATGCCATCTCAGGGGAGTGACTTAGTTCCCGAGTCTCTCCCATGTCTACAGGAGCTATACATGTTCTTAAATGGTTGTTTGTTTTATTCCTATTAACCAGATTTTGTCCATTTAACTCTTAGACCAGCAAGCAGAACCTAGAAGGGCAAAGGAGAATTTTTTTTCTCCCTGACACAGAGTTGGACTTGGGCATGAATTCAGTTTGTCACTGTAAACATGTCAGCATCGTGCCCATCACCCCAGAAATAAGTCCCAATCAAAGTCAGCTGAAGAAACAATGAACAGAACAGAAACAGAGGCATTCATGCAGTGGTTCTCAACCTTCTGGCCCTTTAAATACAGTTCCTCATGTTGTGACCCAACCATAAAATTATTTTCGTTGCTACTTCATAACTGTAATGTTGCTACTGTTATGAATCGTCATGTAAATGTCTGATATGCAGGATGGTCTTAGGCGACCCCTGTGAAAGGGTCGTTCGACCGCCAAAGGGGTTGCGACCCACAGGTTGAGAACCGCTGCATTAATTCATGGAACAGTCTGGTATCTGTCAGAGAGGAGGGGGCGCTGGATGAAAGAAGGTGAAGGGATTAGTCAAAAACATATACATAGACACAGACAACAGTGTGGTGATAGCCAGAGGGGAAGGGGGGTGGGGATAGGTGGAGGTGGGCAAAGGGAGGGAAAATGGAGACCGGAAGAGACTGTTTGGGGCGGAGGGTGCACGAGGCAATGTGCAGATGATGTTTTGTTGCCCTGTACACTTCAAACCTGTATGGTTTTGCAAATCAATATCATCCCAATAAATTCAATTTAAAAATAACTGAGGAGGGAAAGTGTATTGAACCTAATGAGGTGGTCAGGAACTGTATCTTATGACTAGATTATGAACAAAGCAGGAACGATGCTAACATCCTTTTATCTGAAAAAGTTTCCGTAATTCTCAATTAAGAAACATATTAAACACTTATCTCCTACTCATTAAAACATGTAGAGAATAACTTCCTTTTTTACAATTCCCCAGTGACTATGGAAAACAATATGAACAACAACAAGGAAAGTTCTGCTCATTGGTCCAAATTGGGTGGGAGAGCGTATAAAAGCCCCAGGATAGAAGGGGAGCCCTCAGCATCTGAGAAACTCACCTCTGAACAGGAACCCACCCTCCACACCTGACACCATGTGCTGCTCCCCTTGCTGCCAGCCCAGCTGCTGCAGGCCCACCTGCTGTGGGTCCAGCTGTGGGTCCTGCTGCTGCCAGCCTTGCTGCCGCCCCTGTTGTGTGTCCAGCTGCTGCCAGCCTTGCTGCCGCCCAACCTGCTGTCAGACCACCTGCTGCCGCCCCTGCTGTGTGAGCAGCTGCTGCCAGCCTTGCTGCTGTAGCACTCCCTGCTGCCAGCCTTGCTGCCGCCCATGCTGTGTGTCCAGCTGCTGCCAGCCTTGCTGCCGTCCATGCTGTGTGTCCAGCTGCTGCCAGCCTTGCTGCCGTCCATGCTGTGGATCCAGCTGCTGCCAGCCTTGCTGCCGCCCATGCTGTGTGTCCAGCTGCTGCCAGCCTTGCTGCAGCCCATGCTGTGGATCCAGCTGCTGCCAGCCTTGCTGCCGCCCATGCTGTGTGTCCAGCTGCTGCCAGCCTTGCTGCCGCCCATGCTGTGGATCCAGCTGCTGCCAGCCTTGCTGCCGCCCAACCTGCTGTCAGACCACCTGCTGTAAAACCACCTGCTGCCGACCCAGCTGCTGCTGCCGCCCTTGCTGTGTGTCCAGCTGCTGCCAGCCTTCCTGCTGCTGCTGATCACCTTGTCAAAGAACCGCCATCTTCACACAACACCTCTTAACTGACTCACCATTTTGGAAACAAATTCACTTCCTCAACTTGGCTGACAACCAGCATGCTGTACCTAAATTTCTGTGACTCGTGTGCCTGATACAAGCTTCTGAATCAGCTGGATGGAGAGTAGAGGACGTCCCCAATCCTCTTCCTCCCGTGTGTGTGGATCATATGCCAGCTTCGTGCATCCTCGACATGGAGCTATGTCTCTGCTTTGACTCCGTAGTCCAGGTCTCCATCCTCTGAGTAACTTAGAAAAAGGAATTCTTGTAACTGTTACATAGGTTTTCTGCAACTGCTGAAAATCTTCTCAGTCCTGTTTTCTTTTCCCATGCACTCCTGGTTCCTGTAATCCTGCTTTTCTTCCACAGTCACTCTGAGTTGGCTTCCTGGTTACAGGAAGTTGTACCTCTATTTCTTAATAAATTCTGTGCATTCCATATTGCGTTTGGTTTTATTGTACAGCATCCTGGTGGATGGATTTACACCAGTAGTACGTTACATGTTGCACATCATATGCATAATTCATTCTGAGCTTCATATAGTCCCCCCAAAATAATTATCTCCATTTTTCACATGAGAACATTTCATGGGGTCATGTTAGATAGCTGATTTGGACAGACTCAGACCCAAAACTGTGTCTTTTGCTTCTGCTCAATGATACTTAAGTTTTAATCTCAAAACAAATTAGAAAATGTCATGGGATTGAGCACCAGCAAGATAATTCTTTGTTGGCTGGGTGAAGGTGCCCTGTTGTGACCATGGAGGAGTGTCTGGCAGCATCCTGGCTTCTACCCACTAGATGCCAGTAGCACCCCTTTCTGGTTGGGCCATACAGAGCTAAGATGGGTGGGGGAAGTGGATAAATGTACAAAACACAGGAGTAAAATCTATAGTACAGAGGAGTTATCTAAATGTGTAGAGTTGGATAATAAACGTGACATCCCAAAACTCATGGGATTCAACAAAAAATGCTTTGAGGATGATTTATATGTTTAAGTATTTATATAAGAAGAGAAGAAAACCTCAAAATTAATGAGTTAAATGCCCCAACTTAAGAAGTTAAGAGAAAAGCAATAGCATTGCCCCCAAACTACACAGAAGAAAATGAATACCTAAACAAAAAAAGAGTAGAAATTAGTAAAACAGAAAGTAATATATATATATATATATATATATATCTCAACAAAACCACAAGTTTGTCCTTTTCTAAATTGAACAAAATAGATACAACTCTGGGAAGATTGATCAGCTAAAAATGATACCAAAGTTCAATAATATTATGAAAGAAAACTTTGGCCTTAGGATATGAATAAAACAGAGTTTTATATTATTTTAATTATCTGTTGCTTTGTTACAAACTATCACTAAAAACAACTACTTACCATTTCTCATGAGTTCATGGGCTCACCCATGCTGAGTGTCCAGCTGCTGCCAGCCTTGCTGCCGCCCATGCTGTGTGTCCAGTTCTTCTGTCTCACATGGTATTGACTGGGACACACAGAGGCAAAGGACTGGTCTCAACAACATAACTCTCACAACCAGTAACCATGAACCACTCAATAGAGAAGTGGGTAAAAGATGTAGCTAGGAATTTTATTTAGAGGAAACATACAGTATAGCCAAGAAATGTTAAAAAAAAACAACATAAGTAATTGAGAAAAATACAATTCAAAACCTCAAGATTCTGCCTGGCCAGCATAACTCAGTGGTTGAGCGTTGACCTATGAACCAGGAGGTTACGGTTCAATTCCCGGTCAGGGCACATGCCCCAGTTGTGGGCTCCATCCCCATTGTGGGGCATGCAGGAGTCAGCTGATCAATGATTCTCTCTCATCATTGATATTTCTATCGCTCTCTTCCTCCCTTAAATCAATAAAAATATATATATTTTAAAAACGCAAAATTCCAATTTACACCACTATATTGAAAAACAATGTAAAAGTCTGACAATATAAAAAATTTAGGGAGGATGTGAAACTACTGAAGCTCTTGCACGTTGGGGGAGGGGGGGAGGGTGGTATAAATTTGTACAGCCCCTTTAGGAAACAAATTGGCATTTCTCCTTAATGATAGACCTGTCAGTCAAACGTGCCAATAATCTCACTCCCCCAGCTTTGCTGCCAACCAACATTCGGTTAATTATCTTGTTCAATTGCAAGGCTGCTGAGTGGTGTGGAGCCTGTTTCACTTTGATTTGGTTCTTCCTTTTTCCTGTAGCTCAGTGTGCCAGCTGCTAGTCTGCCTCACCTATCCTGACATAAACTCATGAACTCAGCCTGGGGAAAGTGGCCAGCCCCTCCCCGTCCCCTCTAAGAATCTTAAAAAGAAAATAGGACTCTTCTCTTCAGTCTCCGCCACCATCTTAAAATCTGTGACAACCAGCCAGGGAAGTGCTGTGTGCTACAGAGCCGGAGGGGAATGGCCATGTTTAGAGGAAAAGGAATGGGGTTTCCTGGCAGAGGGCACTGAAATAGAGGGCGGGGCTAATACGAGTCGGGAAGTGCCTGGGGACGCCATTCTGACTGTAACCTAGATGCTTCTGATGGAGGAAAAGTCCAGCGGGCCAAGGATGAGTATGACCTGAAATGTGGAGAAACTCTTCAAAAGAGGTCTCCAAGGATGGGCTGGACCACCCTGGGTGCATGCATTGTTTTATTATGAGGCATCGGAACTGACAGCCACTCGGAGGTTTTTATCAGGATTCCTGCCATGCCTGAGATTCTTGGAGGGCCCTGAGCACTCTGCCTTACCCCATCATTACTTAGTTGATTGCTTACTGGCATGTTATCATTCTCCAAAGTCCATAAGCATTCACATAGCGTCTGCTTTAAAGAAAACGTACACGCTGTCATGGGACTAGGCATTCCCTTGAAGAAGGGGGCGAGGGAGAAGCTGTCTTCCGAAAGGCATTCAGGGCAGAACTCACAGCCTTGATCATGACCCTGGACCTGATTTTTGTTTACACACCAAGGAGGAAGCCACCTCTTGGAGCAGACTCACGTTAGCCAAGCCCATAAAGCAAGGACGCCTACTTATGAACTTACAGGAGAATTGACTGTAACAGGAACTCCTGAGCTACCACACGAGCATGGAATTGGCACTGGAAGTTAAAGGAACTAATGTCAGATGGCATTTGGCACGTTTCTTTCACGATAGTCCTCACGAGTGGAACTTGAAAACTCACAGTCCTGTGACTAACTCTCCATCTCCCCTGTGCAGTGCTTGGCAGGGGCATGGCCAACATTTGCCTCAGCGATGTCTTCACGCCGAGTTTCCGTGAGGCCAACACCCTCGGTTAAGTTTCACATTGCCTATATCTTCAACCAGATCTGAATCAATTCCTCCAACTTTGGAGATATCCTTCGTTTTAAGGTGACTTTACATAATTTGGTCCTTTTTAGTGTAGATTCCAAGTGTTGGGTGGCATCTCGCTGTAGGCCCCCCTTATGCATCCTCACTCATACTCTTGCATCATTAGCATCTTTCCTGAAATCTGTGTTTTGGTTCATTCCTACCATAATATCTTTTGGTTATTTATGATATTTCTAATTGTATTTTTGGATGGCTGGACTTGTTTATCATTCTCTTCCAAAAAAAAATTTATCAGTGATGTGGAATTATCATCAGACTATTGCATTACTCATTTTTTGTGTCTTTGTTCACACCCATCATGTTCCTTCCCTCCCTCCCATGAGTTACACACTTGTTATGAGATGGGTCAAACATGAAGGCCAACCTCTAGATCAGGCACTCCTGTGCAAGTGAGACTGTTAGGGAAAGAACAGGGGTTCATTTCAGGGACTCAGCCTCCGTCTTCATTTCATCCACTCCTTCCACTTTTCTTTTAGTGCCTCGGAACCTCCAGTCCCTGTCTGAGCTGCCCGGGAAGGCTCCACTGCTCCTTGGCTTCAGCCAGACTCGTGAATCAAACCCACAAGTCAGGTCACTCTCATCATTTTTCTCCAGCCGCCATATGGCCAAGAATTTATGGGAAGCTCAGAAAGAGTGTAGCAGCACTGTGTCCGTTTACAAATATTAATGAAAACTGGGTCCTAGAGGGAAGGCTCTGCTCACTGCTGAGACAGGCAGAGCAGTCTCTCCCCAATCCCAGCCCTTTCTGATCCCATGGGAACCTCTCCGTTAGAAGCCTTTTCTACGAGGGGTTGAATCCTGTGTTGGCGCTCCCAGGCCTTCTCCTCTCAGAAACCTTGATTAACAACACCAGAGTGGACCCCTTCCAACTTTCTCATGCCCAAAACATAAATCAAGGAAGCCTACGTTCAGTAGAGCGTGTAAAGCCGATAAGGAAAGCATGCATATGTCTCCTTTATTGTCACGTCTTCTTTATTGTTCCTGGTTCAGGTTTATAGCCTGCCCTTGGCCAGAAAGCCTTCAGACCCTCTTTCTAGGGACAAAAACATTCCTTAGCCAAGATAAGAGCGTGATAAAAACCAAGCTCTTGAGCCTCATTCAGTTTCTTGCACATTATGTCCCAGAGCACTTGGAGAATAGAAGTAAAACACACATCGACAGTGAGGAATCTTAGAGAAAGAGAGATGCCGAATGTGTTCAGACAAGCAAATGCCATTCCATGTTCAAGTTTCTGCAAATCATGCACCTTCAAGTTTGACCTCACCTCAGGAAAATATTCTAGGATGGATTGCTCAAAAGACCCTTTGTGATTCCCTAGAAAGAGAACATGGGACCACTTAGACCAAGTCATGGCAAATGCTTTAACTTTTTATTTTTGCTAGATTCGTTGATCCAAGAAACTTAGTAGAAAATGAATCTGGATTTCCACAGGGCGATTTGGAAAGGACTCTCCTAATACCTTATGAAGAGAGTGCAGAAATATAGACTGAATTCAGTGACAGTTGCCAAAACATGTCTCATTTCCAATGGCAACTTCTCACTTTACCCAATAACAATAAGCCATTGATCCCCAATTCAAGCTGAGACCC